TGCCTAGCATTAAACATTTGACGATATAGTTATGCACATTTATCTTTTGACATTTTGGCATCAACAACTTTAATTTTGTTTCTCCAGAATAAAATTCAACTTGTAACGTAATTCCGGGCGAATATTTATTAAGATTAATATTTTTTCTTTCAGTTTTCAAAAGTCCTCCGAAATGTTCAAACTTTTAAGGATAATATAGGTAACTTTTCTTCCTTCTGCCCTCTTAAGATATTTTGAGTACCTTTTTTAGGACATTTACAATTTGATGGAGTTAAGAATTGTTCATTCTTAGAGCAATCACAGTTAATTGGCTATATTGTTATAACCCTGAAAATATAAGTGTATCTAAAAGAGTACATTGGTGTAGGCGTTTATTAACAAGTGAAATAAAGTTATGTCATCCGGCATGTATAACACGTAGAACAACGTGTTAAGTGTTACATCAAGCGACAACAGCGAACATTTGTCGCCGATGTCAATATTTGGTTGATAAAAACTTGTTACTAGAATGAATTAAACATTTGAATAAAATAGTCAATTGCAAAAACACTATTTAAATGTCTCAATACCCGCCTAATAAATTTTGAAATATAGCTCTACCTTATGATTAGAACAATTCTAGTAATGTAAAATAATGAATTATCAATAATGTAATATAATGAATTATCAATTTTTATACTTCTGAACTTCTGGACAATTTTTCAAGTGAAAAAAAAGCATTTGTCATTGTTAAGAAATGTGTTTATAAGTTACAATATCGTTTATCTAGCAGTTAAATTATTTTTGTACAGTCGACCTCAAAGTATGATTATTTTTAGATTTAAATAACAAACGTTTTATCAGTATATTACAATGACAGCAGTCTTATTATGATGTACGAAACATCGATCAAAATTTTTTATCTAAAATGAACTGTTAAATTGATACCAAAAACGAGAAAGAAGGCGTTGAAAACATTTTGATCTTCATGATTATCAAATGATGTCCTCTTGCAGGAAACTATTGCCTTTGAGGTTCACCAAACAGCGACAGATAAGTAAAACATTTATCAAAATTGTAATTGTTTCATTGAACCTCAAAAAAATATTTGCAAAACATTGCTTGTTACATAATTTGAATGGTTCTTAGTATTTGTCTAAGATATCAAAATTGAAACCATAATTGATTGTGTCTATGATTCTAAGTAGACATTGCACGCAGTTAAATGAAAATTTTTCGGAGAAATTGTTTTTCTCTTCCTAAAATAATTTTACCATGAACAATATCTTTTGAGCTTTTAAGATTTTCAGTTCATTATCAACAATATTTAATTCAACGATATTTGTTTAAAATAGAAACGTAGTCATCGAGTCAGTTTCAAAATATTCATCTTTTACTGACATGTTAGGTTGATGGCTTTTGAATATTTGTGGGGGAGTACACCCTAATTTTAAGACATTTGTTATTTATAATTCATGATGCAATTATTTGTCACACATGTTTTTTGCCATTTTTGGAAATATTTTAATGCACATAATTGATTTCATAACCAATGTTTGACACACTGAAAAATTGTTAAGAATATAGGTTCAAACATCAGTGTCACATCAAAATGATTATTTTGTTCCATAAAAGACAGGCAGAACTAATCGGAGAAGGTGTTTGTAATGGTTTCTATTGTCACATATATACTGCAACCTCGGAATAAACATATGCTAAGAAATGACAGTACAATCAAATGCAAATATATTATGTTTTCATTTTATTATCTTGTTTATCCAGATGTTCTCCAGTAAATTGCCAACTTTTGTCTCAATTTACTTAGATATTTGCTGTTTTCGTGTATAAGACTCTAGACCAGTCAAAATAAAGTACAATAGTACAATAAATGTTGATTAAACATAAAAATACTTCATCAGCAAATTTTAGGTATTAAGAACATCCACTATGTTTTGTTCTCCATAAAAGTCATTATACATGTATATGATATTAACGAAGCCAATAACATTGTCATCATTCTTATATCTATGATATTCGCAATGAATATTGATTAAACCTAGAAATGCTTCATCAAAAAGATTTAGATATTAAAAAATAACTACTATGTTTTGTTTTCCTTACAAGTCCTTACATATGATTACCACGGGGACAATTACATTGTCACCGTTCTTATAACTATGATACATTGTTTTGTAATTCAAGCGTTAAATATAACGCCCTATGATACATACGGTCAATACATACGGCACCAGTGGCTTCTTTTAAATACATCAATCATATTTTACATGTTACGGTTCAGTGCTTTTTTACAATCTGGATATTTCGGATTCACTGCTTAGAATATTCCTAGATGAACATTAAAGCTGTACGCCATCTGATGAATAATTAAATGTTTATGAACATTAGAACAGTCAATTTTTTTAAAAAAAATAAAGAAACATGATTTTGAAATCTACAATAATTAGCACGGTATTTTTTATGTTTTATTTACTTTATGAATAAATTTACTTATAAGTATATCTCAGTTTTAATATCAAGTCCAAAAGTACTAAAATTAAAATTGAAAATTAGATTAAAAAGTTTTTATTAAAACGTGTTCGAGTTCATAAGGTAGAGCTTTATTCTAAAATTGATTATGTGTGTTTATAAGTTCTTTTTCAATTGTTTCTTATTCAAATGTGCAATAACATGCTGACATATATTTGTATAGCCAAATATCGACATAAGCTAAAGTGTTCATTGTTATTATCAGATGAAAATAGCTTTCTCAAACACTTGACATGTTGTTCTACTAGTGTTGAATGATGCAACTCTATTTCAATTGTTTAAGTACGCCTTCACCAATGTATAAGTTAAGTACCGCTTATGTACGAGGGTAATGGAAATAAGACCAATTAGCTAACACATGCATCATTAATCCTACTTTTATTGTATTGAAACATTGTCGTTGTTGAAAACGCCACAATAAAGAAACTCCACTATGATCCAAAAGTCTGAAAGCATGTATTAGGATTACTTAGTATACATAGATAAGCTTGCGCACTTAAAACGGGGGAGAATGCAAACTTAAATTAAGAAATATACTAAAATAATAAATTGAAAATCATGATTTTGTCCTATTTTAACCAGACTTTAGTGAAAGCGTTGCTTTGCGTGGGTTTTCAGGTTTATGTCATTGTTAACAATTTAAATACTTATTCTAGAAAGCTTGAGTTTTAATTTTGCACATAAATTATAAGTCTAGAGCTACTTCAAATGGAAAAATTATTTCCAGTCCCGTCACGTCTGTTTGGGATCAGGTAAACAAACACAACGATTTACAAGTGTAAAGAGTATCTGTACAAAAGCAGTTGAAACAACATATCTGACAAATAAAATCTATAGCAACATAGGTGTCAATTGATACATTTGTAAACGTTGCAACAGTCAGTCATATAGCATCATTGACATTAAAGCTTTACTAATGAATGCTGATTGTCTAGCTGAGTGTTCGTCAAAATACAGTCTAACCCGCATAACGTGGTCAGCAAGGGGACTGAACCAAAATGACCGCTATGGACAGGTGACAACTAAATTCAGACTGACTCTTATTGCTATATATGTTTTGATAAAATATGGCTCTTTATGGATGTATTCTTTTGAAATATACTCATTTCATTACAAAGGCAAAAAGTACTAATTTACAGCATACGATGTGCATGATAAAGTTACAGCTGTACTGTTATTCAGTATTCAAAATAAAACAATTTTGTAAAATAGGTTGTTGTTTTCCTGTAGTTTTCTTGTTTTATTGCAATTCTGATACAAACAACGTGTCCTTAAACGCACTTGGTCATATTAAATCACGATAGAAAATTCTTTTTTTTTCACGATATCGCAATCCCGTTCAAAAGATCGAAATAGTTACAAAGCTTATAATGAAAACGAAATCACTTCGTTAAAGTTCAAATCACTCAAATGATATCAATTAATACAAACAAAATTACTAAATTGCTAAAATCCATAGTCATATAATATTATTATCAGCTGTTCGATGATTATTATAATGATAAAAACAATTCCTGTATTTGCTTTATACATGCACACTTTTTCAAATATTTTGTTAGATCGTTAAGGTTAAGAACATATAGTATAATTATACGATATATATAGTCCTTATCTTTAAACGATCTTTAATAAAGAACACAATTTTAGCAGGACTGTCGAAAGACTGAAAGATTATTAAAAGAAAAATGAAAGGAATTTTATTTCTTATATTCACTTTCGTTTGTACACTAACTGCAGCTGAAGAAGGTAAATGACATTATTTATATTATAATTATCAAGAATAAATCTCATTTCATTGACGTTTTGTGTCCTTTTCATTACTTTTACTATTCATCGTTTTACGTTTCGTATTTAAACTTTTACGACTTCAACATATTAGCTTTTGAAAACCGTTTAAAGATTAGTGTCACATGCGCGAATCCGGTAAGGGGGCGGGGGAAAGGGTTCAAAAACCCCACCACTCCCACTATTGCAATTTTGCCTTTATTCATAAAATATAATGTAACACCAAGGACTGAATATAAACTTATAATGTTTTTGGTGAAAATTACTCTAACTAAATCGGCTCATGATTCTCTTACCAATGGAAAGCAAGTCAACGCCAAACACCTTCTGAAATATGCATTATATCTTGCCGAAATTCAGCGACCCTCCCTGGATCCGTGTCTGTGACGATTAAATGTTTTAAAATAAAAAGTAAAAGTACTGCAGTTGCAGATAGATGTCTACTTATATTTTGGGCCGCAAAAAGGCTCTATACATCTTTTACATCATCCATTGTTTTAGATAAGGATGATGTCATATTACAAAGACTGACCGCTACTGAAAATCTTGTTCAAGATCTTCTTCATGAAGTGAATGATTTAAAATCTCGAGATAAGGTCCGACAGAACAAGGTTGCGTACCTAGAGAAACAGCTTCGTTTACAGCGACAGCACAGCTTCAACTTGGATAAAATGTTAAAGAAATTAAAGTTATTAAAGTTATGTAACAAAAATGAAGATTACGATCTAGCTAAAGTGGCAGAAGTTGAAACGTCCGAGAAATCTACAGTTGAGAAGGATCAAGGTACATCAAATTAAAATTATCTAATATATGTCAAGCCAAATTTAAAATCTGAATTGACCAAATTATTGTCATTTTTTATCATACCAAAAAGTTTAGTTTGCCTTCTTAATTCTAATTGGTCATTTTTGTCACCATGGATTACATAGTTAATATTTCAAATGTACCAGACAAAATGATTGAGCAAGCAACATTTCTATCTTATTTAAATATTATAAATATATATCCAAACAAGCCCCCCAGGTTCTGATATTCTGTATGTATGCATTGACTTTCTAATATTGTAGGTGATTCTAAAAATAGAATACGTAGACAGAACGTGGAAAGTTCAATTGCGTTCTTTGCTAAAATGGATGCCCATCTGGAACATGCTGGCATACACCAAACTGTAGTATTTGACGTAGTCGTTACTAATCTTGGAAACGGATACAACAAACATTTCGGTGTCTTTGTTGCTCCCGTTACCGGAACTTACGTCTTCTCGACAACTCTTGTTTCTTATAATTTTGCCAGTACGCATGCGCAGTTTCTTGTAAATGGAACAGCAATATCAAATATGTATGTAAGCAGTGGAAACTCTGGCACTGGAGATGATACGACCAGTCAAACTATTGTTCTTCAGCTACAGCAAGGCGATGACGTAGCAATTCAAAATCTTGACTCCGACAAAGGTTTCCTTGGAGCTAGTTACAGCACTTTTTCAGGATTTTTATTGTATGGAGGTGTCTCTACTTCAGCTATAATAGGAAAATAAAACACAATAAAATTGAAAGATATTATTATTCGATAGATATTATTCGGATCACGATTCGGTGTCCGGAGCCGATTTTCGGATCCGGATGTTCGCAAAAAATATTTCAGAATATTGAGAAAATGTGCTAAAGAACTTGCGTTGAGATAATCGACGTAGACATGGTGTTGACACCATATTGTTTATTGTGCCTTAGTTTGACAATACATATCATAATCTCTGCAGACCACAAAAAAATCAATAATTACTATAATAATTACGAGTCAGGTATGACGCATGTTAATATACATTAAACACCAAACAAATTTAAGTTTTGTAGGATTTAAGATGAATTTTCTAAGTCCCGTGCGATTGTCATCGGCAACAATGTTATATTTCTTAAAGTCGGCTACTCACCTGTCAAAGGTCATCGTGTGTAAATTGTATGCGTGTTATTGAACAATTGAAACATATTTATATTTTACGGTGTTATTTTGTTTTCACAAATGTGAGCGAGTGTTATTTTGTATTATAGCACTAATTGAGGAATTGAGACAATCGGCGATGAATTTCATTTTCATTTCATTTTAAATCGTAAGTACCATATGCACTAAATTTATCGATAACAGTCATATTCTTCATGATCTGTATAGAAATAATAAAATCAATAACGAAAATTTTTTGACACATATTCAATAAAAAGTAATATTACACTTTGAAAAAGGTCGCGAATGTTAAAAAGATAACACACTACATAAAATATTTTTAAGTTATTGCATTGTGTTGACCGAAACCAAATGATAGTAAAATCCATATATATATGTTTACTTAAATTTCAATTTTATTTCTCAGATTATATATACATGTTTCAATTTATAATATGCACAAATCATTTCAAATAATCTTTAAAGGTACAGGATTTGAATGTACATCAAAGTGTCTAATGAAATTCTTCATCATAGTGAGTAGTTGACATATAATAGGCACTTAAATCATAACATATAGAATAATCTAAGTAGAATAAAAAACAAAACAAACAATCAGTGTGATTATATTAGAAAACAGAAAACATAAATATGTATTAAAATGCTTCAAAAACATAGTATAAATATATGTTTGAGCACGATTAAAGATACAAAACGACTATGTGCAGTGAATGTGAATAGAATCTTAACCATACCTGTCAAAAGGATATTCAGTTGCATGATTGTCACAAGCCATATTGTAATATTATCAAATCATTAACTGCAAGCGCTGTAATAACATTTGAAAATAAAAAAGAAAAACAGTTCATGAACACCACTTCACCGGATGATGACCAGAATTACTAATTACTAACTGCAATATAAATAACATGCGTGATCAATCAGAACAAAGATTCGCAGACGACAAATATGTCATAGCAAGTTGAAGATATATAAAGACATGAACCATAATCAACACATTATCATCAATGTTTAATGTATTAGCTAAAATAGTAAATCTTTCACGCCATTAATTCAATAACAGATAAAGAATAAAGAGTTGATAAAGTCGTCTGTTTCCTTTATGCGGCTGTCTATCCATTTTGACCTTAAGTGCCAATAAAATGCAAAGCTGCCGACAGCGGGAATTATCACCTGAAAATTTAAGGAAACATATAGAGAAAATGGTGAGATAGTATGACTAAACAAAATATTACTTTAAAGTTTGCGTTATCGCTACCATAAATGTTTTTATAAAGATTAATAAGAATATTTTCGGCTTTGTTTGTCTGCTACGTCGTTCTTTCATTTTCAATGGTAGATTACAGTGACTCAAATTAGAAATGTCGGACAGATATAACACTTTTTACCGCAATTTATTATATCATAAAATATTAAAAGCTGTTAATTAGATAACATTTGTCGATATAGTTGTGTAAATCTATCATTTGACGTTTTGGCATCAATAACTTATTAATAACTATTATTTTTACAGAATAAAGTTCTAGTTGGGTGAATATTTATTTGCATAAATATTATTTCTCAGTTTTCTAAATTCCTCCGAAATGTTTAAAGGAGAATATAGATGTCCTGTCCTTCAGCCCGCTAAAAGGTATTTTGAGTACCTTTTCAATGACATCTATAATTTGATGGAGTTAAGGATTGATTATTCCTTGGGTAATTACAGCTAGTTGGATATATTGTAATAACCGTAAGTATAAACGCTTGTAGAACAACGTGTCAAGTGTAACACCAAGCTAATTTTATATTGTTACAACCACGAGTATAAACGCTTGTAGAACAACGTGTAGGCTTATTTTATCTGAAAACAACAGCGAACATGTTCGCCTATTTGGTTAAACAAACATATGTTAGCAAATAAAATAGTCAATTGCAAAAGCACATTTTATGTCTCAGGACCCGCTTAATCGATTTTGAAATTTAGTTTTACCTTATAAAGTTAAGCAATTTTAATTATTTAAATTTTAAATATAAACTTCTATACTACTGAACTAAGAATTAGTCATTTTTCAAACATTTCAAAAATATGTGCATTTGTCATCGTTAAGAAATTCTTTGTAAATAAGTTCAATTTTCGTTCAAATAGCAGTTAAATCTTAAATGACGAATTTAATGTATGATTATTTTGTAGATTAAAATACCTTACGTTACATCAGTATATTGCGATAATTTCAGTCTTATTATGATGAATTAAACACCGGCGAACAGACTTTATCTTAAATGAACTGTTAAATTGATACCTAAACGAGAAAGAAGGCGTTGATAATATGATCACATGATTATCAAATAATTTCCTCTTGCAGGAAACTGCTGCCTTTGAGGTTCAAGCACCAAACAACGACAGATAAGTAAAACATTAATCAAAATTGTAATTGTAATTGTTTCATTGACCCTCAAATAAATATTTGCAAAACATGGCTTGTTAAGTAATTTGCATTGCTCTATTTGACATTGCATATATTTAAATGCACATTTTTCAGAGATATAGTTTCATTCTTCCTAGCATAACCTTACCATGATCAATGTCTATTAAGATTTTAAGATTTTAAGTTATCAACAATATCATATTCAACGATATTTGTTTAAAATAGACATCGAGTCAGTTTCAAAATATTCATATTTTACTGACATGTTAGGTTGATGGCTTTTTGAATATTTGTGGGGGAGTACACCCTAATTTTAAGACGTTTGTTATTTATAATTCATGATGCAATTATTATTCACACATGTTTTTGCCATTTTTGGAAATATTTTAATGCACATAATTGATTTCATAACCAATGTTTGACACACTGAAAAAATTGTTAAGAATATAGTTTCAAACATCAGTGTCACATCAAAATGATAATGTTGTTCCATTAATAATCGGAGAAGGTGTGTATCATGGTTTCTATTGCATCCTCGGAGTAAACAGACGTTAAGAAATGAAAGTATAATCAAATGCAAATATTTTTTTTCATTTTATTATCCTGTTAATCCAGTCAGTGATTTTTTCATAAATTTCCAAATGATTTCTCAAAGTACTTAGCTACTTGCAGTTTTCGGGTAGTAGACTCTAGACCGGGTTCAAATAAGTTACAATAATACAATTAATATTTATGAAACATAAAAAATACTTCATCAACAAATTTTAGATATTATAAATATCTACTATGTTTTGTTTTCTAACAAGTCCCTTATACATGTATATGATACAAACGGTTATATCAATGAATAATATTTCAACTTCTTTATACTCATAATAAATGGTCATCAACGGCTTTTCAATATAACAAAGTCTGATATGTTGTTTAGTATTAAAATATGATAGTCATGGATGTCATTACATTGTCATCATTCATATAATTATGATACATCGTTATATAATTCAAGCGTTAAATATAACGCCCTATGATACATACGGTAATATGATTATCTACAATATATACGGCACCAGTGGCTTCCTATAAATACATCAATCATATTTTACATGTTACGGTTCAGTGATTTTAACAATCTGGATTATTCGGATTCATGCTTTGAATATTCCTAGATGAACATTAAATCTGTACTGCATCTGATGAATAAATAAATGTTAGGAACATAGGAACAGTCAATTTTAAGAAAGATAAAAAAACTGGTTTAGAAATCTATAATAATTAGCACGGTATATTGTATGTTTTATTTACTAAATGAATAAATTTACTCATACGTATATCTCAGTTTTAATATCAAGTCCAAAAAGTAAAAAAGTACTAAAATTAAAATTGAAACATTAGATTAAAAAGAATGTTCGAGTTCATAAGGTAGAGCTTTATTTTTAAATTGATTATGTGTGTTTATAAGTTTTTTTGCAACTGTTTTTTTAACTCAAATGTGCAATACATGCTGACACATATTTGTATAGCCAAATATCGACATAAGCTAAAGTGTTCATTGTTATTATCAGATGAAAATACTTGACATGTTGTTCTACTGGTGTTGAATGATGCAACTGTATTTCAATTGTTAAAGTACGCCTTCACCAATGTATAAGTTAAGTACCACTTATGTACGAGGGTAATGGAAATAAGACCAATTAGCTAACACTTGCATCATTAACCCTGCTTGTATTGTATTGAAATATTGTCGTTGTTGAAAACGCCATAATAAAGGAACTCCACTATGATCCAAAAGTCTGAAAGCATGAAATTAGGATTTTACTTACATAGATAAGCTTGCGCACTTAAAACGGGAAAGTATGCAAACTAAAATTAAGAAATATACTAAAATAATAAATTGAAAATCATAAGTTTGTCCTATTTTAGCCAGATTTTAGTGAAAAGCGTTGCTTTGTGTGGCTTTTCAGTTTTAAGTCATTTTTCACAATTTAAATACATATTTTAGAAAGACCGAGTGTGCAAATGCCCTTTGATTTTGCACACAAGTTATTAGTCTAAGTGTAAAGAGTATCTGTGCAAAAGCAGCTGAAATTACATATCTGTCAAATAAAATCTATAGCAACATAGGTGTCAGTTAATACATTTGTAAAATCTGCAACAATTTTATAACATCATTGACAT